ATTTCTGGACATGGTTGTGTTCTACAAACTAATTCGTGGACTCATGAGAATTGACGAACATTTCCTGCCTCAACCAACAAGTGTCAACAGCCAAAGGGAAACAAGATCATCCGATCCTGACCATTTGTCATTCACGACAACACGATGCAAGACAACCACATTCCAAAAGTCCTATTTAAATAGATGTACCAGAATGTGGAATGTACTGCCAAAGAACTTGACAGGCAATAACACCAGCCTTAGTCAGTTAAAAAATGGACTTTTCATGTACTATAAAGTAGCATTACAAACTGTCTACGACGTGGATGATCCAAGAACATGGAAATCAATATGTTTGTCCTGTAACAAGTCCCGTAATCTGTCCTGTGAAGTATCGTGTTGTTATTAGACAATAGTTTAATGTTTGTGATGTCGTATCTTATATGTAAGGGCCGCTGTAATTGGCGTAAGCTGTAGCGTGTTCCCTGCCATTGTCCATATATGTTTTTTCTGTGTTTTAATGTTTATTGGCAAAGTTAAATAAATAAATAAATAAATATATTTACGCACACCAGTGTCATGTTTAGATGTTAAGTATATATACTCTGGCTTTTTCTCCTTCTTTTCTTCTATTATATAGTTTGAAAACAAGCAGTAAGACTCCCAATTTTAGATATTGTAAAACAAACAATGACTTTGGAAAGCCAACAAGTATACAAAATAGACAACAAGACGCCGAAAGTCGAAAAAAATTGTTGGCTCGCGTTAATCGCTTTGATCAGCCAATCAAAACTTGGAACAAAATGTTCTTAAAATTGTTTTGAACAAAAGTGCAAGGTCGAGGAACAAATTTCAAACAGTATAAAACTGAATCAACTGACAAAAGCCAAATACAACTCACAGTTTTTGCTATTGCCTTCGACTCTTCGCATAAAGAAGCCAAAAATCTTTAAAGAAATATCCGTAAGTGAATTTAAGTGAATAAGAAACTCAGCACAATGTGAAAATGAAAAGTTTGATATAGATTTGCAGCAACAAATGGACGAGCAAACTCCAAATAAAAACAACAACAAACTTTATTGCAAAAGCTTAGTGGAATTCACAAGTTAGATAAAGCTTCAAAAGTTTACAAAGGCCTACAATCCTGGCAAAAATTATTGTGGACACTGCGTGCATCAAACAAAAATAGAAGTATTTCTACAGAGTTAATCCCCAGAAAATTTCTCCCCCCTTCTACCCCCAATTCAATGTTGGTAAATGAAACTTTAAAATTTAAATGCGAGAAACAACATTGAATAGGCGGCAGGGGGCGACAAGTTTCATAAAAGAACGTCTCAATGTTAATATTAGCGTTAGAAAAGTTAGGTGTCCACATAATTTTTGCCAGGATTGTCTGAAAATAACCTAAAAAACAAATCCATAATTTTCACCTAAAGCAGGCCTTTTACTATACATTTTTGATGTTGCCATTGCTTTAGAATAACAAACAGACTGTTTAAACTAGTTTAAGTTTTTTTTAAAGCATATTTGTAATTTTGTGAGTGACGAGCTAATGGCAATGATATATGCTTTGCCGAGCTAATTATGCAGGCGCAGTAAGACGAGTTTTCAACAAAAGCGCTTTATGCGCATATGCAAATTCACATCAAATATAACAGACTATTGGGTTATTTTAGTATATACACATCCGAAGCGCTCACTATTTTCAGATTTTTTATAACAAACGCAGCCCAACAGCGACTGTATAGAGCGCCTATAATCTAGCAGTGACGTCACACGGTTCACGGCTGTGTAGCGTAGTGATAAAAATATTTAAGCTGCGTATTCTTTACTCTACGCTACACAGCCGTGTACCGTGTGACGTCACTGTTGTATTAAAGGCGCTCTACAGTCGCTGTTGGGCTGCGTTTGTTATAAAAAATCTGAAAATAGTGAGCGCTTCGGATGCGTATACACTAACATATCGCTATGGTCTGTTATATTTAGTGTGAATTTGGTTACGCTCACAACCGTGTACCGTATCAATTTACTAAACTTTCAAAATAACATTACTTACACATTTATACAGTTTTATACAGTTATCACTATTGTATGAATACACGGGAATATGATGCTACGTGCTCCAAACATACACATTGCAAAATGTTGCAGGTTAACAAAGGATCTGCATTTTGAAATGCATGTATTACCAACAATGCGAATCATTCACGCTCAGGAACTAAACATAGATCTGCTTGGCTGTAAGTTATGAGGTAAACAAACCTCGCATTTTTTGGCTGGAAATTTTGCACTCAGATTTGACTAAGTACTAAGACATCGTCGTTCTCTACGATGTTCAATAATTTGTCATACGAAGATATTACTTTGCCTTTGTAGAGTTGCAGACTAAGTTGTAATTGTATAAATCCAGATAATACGTAAAAAGCCACTTGACATGTAATGTGATAGGTGACACTTAAGATAGATCGGAAAGTAAAAAAATAAGTATAACCTGATTTACTAATTGTTTTCCCCTTTTGCTAAACAAACAAGCCTATTTTATCATTGGATCAAGCCTTAAATTCACGAAATCGGACGGTTTGGAATATGTGATAATTTCAGACAATCCTGGCAAAAATAATTGTGGACACCGCGTGCGTCAAACAAAAATAGAAGTATTTCTACAGAATTAATCCCCAGAAAATTTCTCCCCCCTCCTACCCCCAATTCAATGTTGGTAAATGAAACTTTAAAATTTAAATGCGAGAAACAACATTGAATAGGGGGCAGGGGGCGACAAGTTTCATAAAAGAACGTCTCAATGTTAATATTAGCGTTAGAAAAGTTAGGTGTCCACATAATTTTTGCCAGGATTGTCTGAAAATAACCTAAAAAACAAATCCATAATTTTCACCTAAAGCAGGCCTTTTACTATACATTTTTGATGTTGCCATTGCTTTAGAATAAGAAACAGATTGTTTAAACTAGTTTAAGTTTTTTTTAAAGCATATTTGTAATTTTGTGAGTGAGGAGCTATTGGCAATGATATATGCTTTGCCGAGCTAATTATGCAGACGCAGTAAGACGAGTTTTCAACAAAAGCGCTTTATGCGCATATGCAAATTCACATCAAATACAACAGACTATAAGGTTATTTTAGTATATACACATCCAAAGCGCTCACTATTTTCAGATTTTTTATAACAAACGCAGCCCAACAGCGACTGTATAGAGCGCCTTTAATCTAGCAGTGACGTCACACGGTACACGGCTGTGTAGCGTAGTGATAAAAATATTTAAGCTGTGTATTCTTTACTCTACGCTACACAGCCGTGTACCGTGTGACGTCACTGTTGTATTAAAGGCGCTCTACAGTCGCTGTTGGGCTGCGTTTGTTATAAAAAATCTGAAAATAGTGAGCGCTTCGGATGCGTATACACTAACATATCGCTATGGTCTGATATATTTAGTGTGAATTTGGTTACGCTCACAACCGTGTACCGTATCAATTTACTAAACTTTCAAAATAACATTATTTACACATTTATACAGTTTTATACAGTTATATTGTATGAATACACGGGAATATGATGCTACGTGCTCCAAACGATATACCCATTGCAAAATGTTGCAGGTTAACAAAGGATCTGCATTTTGAAATGCATGTATTACCATGCCAACAATGCGAATCATTCACGCTCAGGAACTAAACATAGATCTGCTTGGCTGTAAGTTATGAGGTAAACAAACCTCGCATTTTTTGGCTGAAAATTTTGCATTCAGATTTGACTAAGTACTAAGACATCGTCGTTCTCTACGATGTTCAATAATTTGTCATACGAAGATATTACTTTGCCTTTCTAGAGTTGCAGACTAAGTTGTAATCGGTATAAATCCAGATAATACGTAAAAAGCCACTTGACATGTAATTTGATAGGTGACACTTAAGATAGATCGGAAAGTAAAAAAATAAGTATAATCTGATTTACTAATTGTTTTCCCCTTTTGCTAAACAAACAAGCCTATTTTATCATTGGATCAAGCCTTAAATTCACGAAATCGGACGGTTTGGAATATGTGATAATTTCAGACAATCCTGGCAAAAATTATTGTGGACACCGCGTGCATCAAACAAAAATAGAAGTATTTCTACAGAAATAATCCCCAGAAAATTTCTCCCCCCTCCTACCCCCAATTCAATGTTGGTAAATGAAACTTTAAAATTGAAATGCGAGAACAACATTGAATAGGGGGCAGGGGGCGACAAGTTTCATAAAAGAACGTCTCAATGTTAATATTAGCGTTAGAAAAGTTAGGTGTCCACATAATTTTTGCCAGGATTGTAGGTTACGAAAGGGTTTAAAATAACTGAATTTATTATAAGTAATAGCATGGCATTCAGGGCGATTAGTATGCTATTTCTCAACACTCGCATTCATGCTCAGTTTGATAAGGTATGGTAATATTGATCAGCGTCCTAAGCCAAGCTGAAAGCTTGGCTTAGAATTGCGGCGCACGACTCATTTGAATTTGTGGGTGGGTGGGTGGGTCGTTTGTCACTTGCCTCTCAAAATGTGGAACTGAACAAGAGCGAGCGTCTGGGTGTTGTCCGCACCTTTACAGCTACATCAGTCACCCATGCACATAATATATGCAATACGTTTCATAACAACTTTGTTTTAGCCTTAATTTGTTTTCACATATCATTACGAGTGTTGAGAATAGTATACTATTTCTCAACACTCGCATTCATGCTCAGTTTGATAAGGTATGGCAATATTGATCAGCGTCGCTGCCTAACCAGATATCTCCTGTTCGTGTGGGCAGTCTTTTACCATCCCTACACCTAACTAAAACATCCTATACATACACTTAACCTAATACTCATTCCTTAATTCCCCCAACCTCATCTTCCGTTTGCTGTTTTATTCCAGCAATACACAAAGATACCAACATAGATAGTACAGAAAATTAAGCACAATTACGATACGAAGTAAACAGAGACATTTGAACATGTACGGTAGCGTTTCAATAGGGCTACTTTAGGAAATGTTAGTGATGTTCGTAGGAAACGCTGACACAAATCGTTGTAAGTGATTGACATCTTGCCATGGATTGACCACATTTCCTGCATTGCCAGAAGCTAAACAAGCTGAAGCACCCTCCGGATGCAAGACCTTAGCAAGTTGCATATAATGCAGAGCTGTATGATGGCGTGCCCAACGCACGTGCTGCATGATTTCCGGCAAATCGGCACCAGTAAGCGCAAGAGGAATAGCACAACCAGCTCTGAAACAATGCAACGTCTCTCCCTCATCAGACCCCATGTGCCCAAGTAAAGTTTCAAGCGAGCTTCTGCGGCAGAAGACGTAAATGGAGAATCCTGAATGCCTTCTTCAGGGGTCGTCGGTCGAAAGAGATACCCGCGAGTGAGGTCGACCTTCATTTGACGAGCAACATCCATATACTGCTCAATACCACGAATTGGAGAAATCGTCGTATGTGGATTGCGACGTACACCGAAGACATTCTGATCACCATCACGCAGTGTCTTGCCCCAAATATGATTGAAAAACATGCCATCATCATTGGGAAAGCGCAGTATCTCTGGAACTGTTACCTGGCCAAGGTCGCCAGGCCTATCACCACTAAAAAAACGCCATCTTGAAATAGACCTGATCGCGAGCCACTAGAAAACGCTCGATTTGTGAGTTAGAAGACTCCAACTTCCGCTGAAGATGCAAAGACAACTGAGTTAACTTGTCGACAAAAAATGGGGTGGCTTGCTGGGGCGTAATCCGTGCTTGTAATTGTTCGGCAGTCACTAGACGGAGATAATCTTTAACGGATCTATCCGCAGCATGCAGGATTACCTAAACCTAAACGTTTATCCCGTCAAGAAAATATGATCATATCCGGATTTGTCATCCAAAACAGTTTGGTAAGAATCGTTACTCACATAACGCGAAAGGTCTCGCAAGGAATCGAACTTAAACGGCTTATCTTTCATCCAAAGATTGAGAAAACGCGCGTCATAACAAAGACGTGGCTTGCGGGGCTCAACGGTGAGAGGCAGCACTAGATAAGGAGGTTCAGCCTCACCAACCCGCCCAATTAATTTGAAAGCACCTATTACAAGGCGCTCAACGATGGGCTGTCCAATAAAATCCCGAAACTGTGCACATATCTTATTATTTGGAAACTGTTTCGGTGGGAAATCGGAATCATTAGACTCTTGTTGAAAAATTCCCTTAAAATGCTGAAAATAGGGAAAAACGGAAACCTGATTGTTAATCCAATTTAAAACTTCCTGATGATCGTGGGAAGAATTTCTCTCCGCAATCTATGTCCAAAACTGTGCATAACGATGAAGTTCCCCGGCGTGAAAAGTCTGTGGATCTCGTATGGCTAATGTGTTGACATCCCCAATAGCGATACCATTTTCCACATTGCTGGACAAGAGAATGATTGGGCGTCATACCCTCACCGACAGAAATGGGGTCCCCAAGAGCATTGACCCAGCGCAACACACAGTTCTGCCGGATCGATTCATTTACTTCGCAGTCAAATATAATACTGGCCGTACCTGGGTGAGGTAACAGTATCTAAAACAGGAACAAACAATCAACAATGCCTAAAGCAGACCCCAACAAGTCGGCAAGGATATGATCGCAACGACCCCGCGAACGCAGTGAGGGCTGATTGAGATACCCCTTTTCAAAGCTTTCATATCCTAGGACTGTAGTAAAGCAATGGAAAAACAACTAATAAAACCTCCCCCCCCCCAAAAAAAAAAGTGAATCAAAATAATATGTGCAACAATAAATAACAAATTATCATAATACAACTCTCGTCATGTTTAAATTATTATCGAGACATATAAGTCATCAATCCACACAAATAGTGTATTAAAGTCTGACATTTGTGTCTAGATGCTAACTACAGAAACCACACAACACATGACGCACAATAGCACAGTTCATTTTGCCTGTGATGAGGAGGCGTCAGAGACTGGTGGCGTTCTGCGACGGGTTTCGTCGTCACGTTTCTTGAGTATACACTGAGCTTGAAAATGTCCAAATCGCTGACAATAAAAGCATCTCCCAACATTTCGACGATATGGAAAAAGGCGATTTGAAGTGTTGACATTAGATCCTTGTGGTATTTCGCGAGAACGACTCTGAAATCGCTTGTCCACTTTGGCGACAATATCAAAGATACGTTCATGATCTTTATCACCTAACAAACGCTAGAGTAAACTACGAAATTGCTCCGTCGAGACAGACATCTTGGCACGTAACGTTTGGTAGACCATACGGTGATTCGCATGCTTCGCATGTTTCTGTTCTTGCGAGACATTATTCAAATTTTCCACCATGTCCAAAGCCTCGAATTTATTAAACTCGGACAACGGACGTGAAGCGTACGTCATAATCTTAATAATCACATTCTCCACAGTTGCCTTAGTAAACACATCAACGCTTTGCCGCAAAGCCTTGAACTCGGCTTTCAAAGTCGAGATAGCATAATACAGAAAATGATATAAATATAATACCGTTTGTTTGACCTGGGCGAAACGCCGCCTACAATTTACTAACGAACGCTCGCCGTTAGCGAATCCTCGCCCACATTTACCAACGAATCTAGTACTTGGCAAACCCTCGCCAACATGTGACTGACGAAATCTCGCCCTTGGCGAATTCTGGCCCATATGTTACTGACGAAATCTCGTCCTTGGCTAATTCTCGCCCACAATTTACGGACGAAATCTAATCCGTGACGAATTCTCGCCCATACTTTACTGACGAAAGCTCGTCCTTGGCGAATTCTCGCCCACATTTTACTGACGAAATCTCGTCCTTGGCGAATTCTCGCCCACATTTTACGGACGAAATCTCGTCCTTGGCGAATTCTATTCACATTTTACTGACGAAATCTCGTCCTTGGCAAATTCTCACCCACAATTTACGGACGAAATCTCATCCATGGCGAATTATCGCCCATACTTTACTGACGAAATCTTGTCCTTGGCGAATTCTCGCCCACATTTTACTGACGAAATCTCGTCTTTGGCGAATTCTCGCCCACATTTTACTGACAAATTCTCGTCCTTGGCGAATTCTCACCCACATTTTACTGACGTAAACTCGTCCTTGGCGAATTCTCGCCCACAATTTACGGACGAAATCTCATCCGTGGCGAATTCTCGCCCATACTTTAGTGACGAAATCTCGTCCTTGGCGAATTCTCGCCCACATTTTACTGACGAAAATCTCGTGCTGGGCGAATTCTCGCCGACATTTGACTGACGAACTCTCGTCCTTGGCGAATTCTCACCCACATTTTACTGACGAAATCTCGTCCTTGGCGAATTCTTGCCCACAATGTACTGACGAAATCTCGTCCGTGGCGACTGCTCGCCCAGATTGTACTGACGAAATCTCGTCCTTGGCGAATTCTCGCCCACATTTAACTAACAAAAGCTCGTCCTTGGCGAATTCTCGCCCACATGTTAAGAACGAAATCTTATTCTTGGCGATTCTCGCCCACATTTAAATGACGACAACTCGTCATTGGCGAATTCTCACCCACATGTTCCTGACGAAAACCCGTCCTTGGCGAATTCTCGCCTATTCTTCATAACTATGTAATGTATAATCAAGCAGAAGTATGCCAAATATGTGGTGAATACCCATTATAAACGACAAGGGTGTGAACAAATTCGGGTGAGTCGTGCTGTTTTCGTTTGCCACTTGCCTCTCAAAATGTGGAACTGAACAAGAGCGAGCGTCTGGGTGTTGTCCGCACCTTTATAGCTACATCAGTCATCCATGCACATAATGTATGCAATACGTTTCATAACAACTTTGTTTTAGCCTTAATTTGTTTTCGCATATCATTACGAGTGTTGAGAATAGTGATTAAATTGTACCCGAAAGCCGAGAGAGGTTTGGTAAAAGTCCCGAGGCGCGTAGCGCCGAGGTACGTTTACTGAACCTCTCGAGGCTTGAGGGACTTTTCATCACTAATCGACCGTAATGCCATGCTATTACTTTGTAATATCATAGTTGCCAAGGGAATCGCGCGTGGTGTGTTGCCTGTTTTGAATGCTGTTTGATTGTCTTATGATTGTGGTACGAACACTTTTCATATATACGCACGCGCAGAAACACATCTCCGTGTTCATTCGTTTTAGGGATACGCATAAACGGAATTTTGTCCCACAAATGTAATGTTCAAGATTAGGGAATAAAAGCCGGCAAAGTGATTGTTCGAATGCGTACGGGACGGTGTCGTCAGATACTGTCCATAGTTGTGCCGATGATTTTCGATGAGGTACAGCTCTCCAATCAGAGGTAATGAGGTACGCTTTTGTCTTCTAAATTTCCCTCATCAAGCATGCAGGCGAAAATTAGAAGACAAAGAAATCCTTTGTTTTCAACTAAATTTCCCGGGTAAATTTAGTTGAAAACAAAGGATTTCTTTGTCTTCTAATTTTCCCTTGCATGCTTGATGAGGGAGATTTAGAAGACAAAAGCGTATGCATGGGTAATGAGGTAAATTAGTGATTAATCGTACCTCGCGAGACAAAGGATTTCGAGGCAACTATGGTATTAAGTATACATATATACATATATATATATATATATATATATATATATATTATGATATTTATGATACACAAAAAAATGCACGTTGGTATTGCATGCTAAAGTTACTTTGAAGGTTTACTTTGTATATTCCCATGTGCAACACACAAAATTTAATTTATTAACAATTTTTTGTTTTATATATATATATATATATATATATATATATATATATATATATATATTTTATGATATTTATGATACACAAAAAAATGCACGTTGGTATTGCATGCTAAAGTTACTTTGAAGGTTTACTTTGTATATTCCCATGTGCAACACACAAAATTTAATTTATTAACAATTTTTTGTTTTAATTCTTTTATTTAATAATGTCTTATATGTTCTGCTTGACCTGCAGGTGGTAATTTGCACATTGGATACTCCGTCTTCAACTTTAATAAGATATATCTTTCTATACATAGGATCACAACACAGTAGTAACCACCGATTTTTTATATCTTTTTTCAGGGCGAAATCAGTGACAAGACAATCACAGAAATTAAAAAGTGTCTACTCACTCCATTAGAAATTTTGAACAAATCAGAGAAAGAGAAACACATGATAGTTGACTTGTGGTGTCATTTTGGAAAAGTCTTTGTTTCTGGCGTTGATGAAGGTAATACAGTGCTGAGATTTGATTAAAGGTACATGAAAAATGTGGTCGTTTCCGCTGGCTGCAGAGAAGTACAGTTTTTATAAAAAATTGAGACTCCCTGAAAGTCCTTGCATTTCAAAACAAAAATTCAAGGCCTTGATAGTTCATGAAAATCTATAATTTTTGAAAATCTATAATTTTTGTTGCTTTAGTTTTTGTTTATTTTCTGAAATTGTTTGACATTAAAAACGTACATTTTGTTGAATTGACTCTGTCCATGTCTTACAGTTCACTACAGTAACAATTTCTAGCGCCTTCTTTTTAGAACTTTGCTCTTGAACTTTCCGATTCATGGCCTTGAAACTCCTTGAAAAGTTCTTGAATTTTATTCTACCTGCAATACGTAATTTTTCAATTTTTCAAACTTTGTACAAAATGTTTTTTGTGATCTCTACAGAAAATGGTGGAAAGAGTATCCTTGTATCTTACAATCGTTCACATTTTTCATATATACCATAAATGAATATTAATAGCATCAGTTGGAATAAATAAATGCACATAGGCATGCCGTATATACGTGTAATTCAAGCTTACCAAGAAAGTATATTGTGCAAAATTAATGGCTCGATGCATACTAAAGGCTGAAATGGTCGTCTGATCTTCGCGTAGTTCGGTGTTGTCTATGCATACAAATGTGACATTGGACAAACTCAATTATTTCACTAACGACATTTCTTCTTTGATATTTTATAATGCATGTTTTATTATAAAATTATCAATTTATATGATTTATAATATAGAAGAAGCTAAGAAAATCATGACACCAGCGGATATCAGTGGACGACTAATACAGACAACCAGTAGCGGTATAAAGAATAAAGATACGAATGCCTATTGGAAAGTTTCTTTTGAAGAAGGCGTTGATCCATTAGACGACAGTGCACTTCCAAACTTCGGCGATGAAAATCACGATTTTCTTGGTCTCAAGCTAGATCACACACAGTGGCGTTATGATTTTGACTTTATAACTCCATCATGTATGTTTACTCATATATTGTATTCAAAATCGCAGTATTTTTATATCACATCTTTAAAGTTTGTTCGTTCACTGCAACGAACAAACTGATCTTCGCTTAGTTCGTGTTGTCTATGCATACAAATGTGACATTGGACGAACTCAATTATTACGCTATCGACATTTCTTCTTTGACATTTTATAATACATGTTTTATTATAAAATTATCAATATATATGACTTATAATATAGAAGTCATGTTTCGCTCGCTACTCTGATTTAAATAAATGATTACAAAGCCCAGTCGAATTGTAATCAAGACCCAACGTTTCGACACTCCAGTCTAGTGTCTTCATCAGGGGTGATCTAAAATTGCAATCGTCGCTTCTTAAATACCACGAGAAAGGGAAAATCAGCTTTAGCCGAACATGTATGTTACACCAAACACGAGATTGCGTGGGAAAACTCTAAAGTAATTACCACAAACAATCGCTATGGTCAAAGACTTTGCCTAGAAGCGTTGCATATACATATGAGTAATCATGCTTTGAATAGGGATGACGGTGCCTATTTGCCAGAGGAATATATGCATCTCATTGGCAGGTGACGTCATCCCTTGGGTATTTAAGAAGCCACGATTGCATTTTTAGATCACCCCTGATGAAGACACTAGATTGGAGTGTCGAAACGTTGGGTCTTGATTACAACTCGACTGGGCTTTGTAATCATTTATTTAAACCAGAGTAGCGAGCGAAACATGATGATATCTTTCTTTTATAAAAATAAAAAATTGTATTTTTTTCATATGAAAGAACATTTAAAATACATAATTTTTACGCTCCTTTTGTATAGATTTTTCTTGAAATAGTTAGACTGAAAACAATGAGCTTGCATTGGTTTTTTAACTAACGATGATTATAATGACCTCAAAACAGAGTTAGTCGTGTGAAACTACTCCTTGTGACCAAATAACAATTAGCAGATGTTTAAAATTTAGCTCGCTGCACTTTAATGCAGCAAAGGTATTGTACGTTATATAGTCCGGCGCCCGTGTACGTCTACGTCCGTGTTCACAAAAGATTATAGAATGAATCGGGGGCTATTGAGATGCCACTTCTGATTTAATGTTGTATTATGTCCACTTTTAAAAATTGATATTTTTTGCAAAAGTATGGGCTTCGTTGGCGCATTTGCCAAAGGTAGATTCTCGCCTTGAATTCATGACACTTACGTCGAAAGTGTCAGTCAAGGTGCTTTACCGAACATTATGTGTTTTTTTTTCAAGTAGGTTGACAGGGCCAGTTTGAATTAGCTCCTAACTGACCCTTCTCGATTGGTTAAATAATTAATAACCAATATCGGCAGTAATAAATAATAATCAATCCCTGAAAATTGAAATTGTGACCGAAGTATACCATTGGTCTTAATTATTTCGGTTTATCCATGCAAGTAAACATCTAGGCGACCTTATTCGTGACGTAACATGCATATGTATATATATATATATATATATATATATATATATATATATATATATATCATTGAACTGCAAGTACACTGTAACGCTAACTTCTATCAACTTTCAAAACTGAGGTAAACTGCAAAACGCGAGGAAACTTTAGTCAACGTTACACAAAACATACTTTTTTTAGTCACAAGACTTCATGCAATGATTGGGATTCTAACCTAATTTTCCGATAAGTACACTTACCACACAATTACAGCACTAATCCATTAATCCGCAAGGTTCTCCCCGACCTTGACGAGTGAGTGCATGGTTGGCATTCAAACCTAATTTTCCGATTGGTTTTGACTGATAGTGTTTTACATCTACTGTATCTGAAGCAAAAATGAGGAGTGTCACTTTCGTATTTTGAATAAGAATGACAAAAGTGCATGTGAACATTTTGTGTCTCTGTGTTTATTGTGCCAGTCATACTGTATCTAATATTTAGTAAAACCATCTGCTCATCCTTCTATTATATATTACTCCAATAATATGCTGGGCTATTTGGTTAGATTAGCTTTGCTATTCCAAATAGCCTGTGCTTCGATTATTTGTTGAATTATGTAACTATATACTTTTAAACTATGTACTATTGTTGGCATAAATAAATCTTTGAATCTTGAATCTTGAACGTGCCAAAGCAAAATTGGCCCTTCATATTTTGACATGTATTTTTTATGTACTAAACTTTCGGTATTATTGTTTATTATTAGCTTTTAATTCTTGCTATCAATCCTTCAAAAACAAAAATGAATTGATTTCGTTCAAGTTGGGTTTGCACCTTCTTGTTAGCCACGAGGAGCACTTTAGACACGGCTGCTATAAGCCATGCAGTTTTTATAATACTAGCTTGTTCTAATTGTTTGACATAAGGTACTGCTTTTCACAAGAAACTCAAAAACCTAATGTTTTGGTGATTTTTTTGTTTTCCTGCATGTGATTGTGTTGAATTGGCCTAGTAAACAGTTGCAAAAGAAAAACGTAGAAGGAACTGGCGCTATATATCTAAATGGTGACCATCATGCATACATAGACATCCTCCAAGTCTCTCGTTCATTGTCATGTCAATCCACTATAGCCTATAGTGTACATTACATGACGTAGCACGGAGAAGCGGAGCGAGAAAGAGAGACTTGTCAACTTCGGAAAATCTCGGTTCAAAACTGAGCCGAAAATACAAGACTTGCTTTAATTGTTTCCTTCAATTTCTTTCTGTATTATTGACTATAATGGAACTCATGTTATTTACACTGTGCTAGATCAATACATATAAACACTGACAGAAAACAATTAAAGCAAGTCTTGCATTTTCCGTTCAGTTTTGAACCGACATTTTCCGAAGTTGACAAGCCTCTCTTTCTCGCTCCGCCTCTCCGTGCTACGCTATGTAATGTATACACTACAGTGGATCCATATGACAATGGAAGAGAGACTTGGAGCAAGTCTATGCATGCACGGCGTCGATTTCCCCCGCTGACTAATTACCATTCCAGATTATCTAAAATTCAATGGCATATATACTGTATCCATGCATGCACAGCAATCCAAGATGTCGAGCAGCACTCAATTATAATGATTTCGGTCAAAATATTTCATGAACATAAGCAAGTTTTGAAAAAGCTGCAAAGGTTTTCAGTGTTACTTTTTCGTTATATAGTCGAAACATGAGAACTATTGGATCATCTTTTAAAACGAATTTCTGACCGTATAGTTTATCCTTTAATTTGCACTCTGTTATTGATTATAGGTTTAAGAAGGTTTCATTTTAGTAAATAAATGAAAGTAGAATGATTCGTAATTTGTACCCTAGAATAACTGCATGTGGGATAGATAAGATATCATTTGTAATTTAGCTTAAGATAGCCTGTTATGAACGTGCACAAAATATTTATTTACAAAGGCGCCCGAGGTTTTTTAGGCGTTAATATTCGAGCAATGTACCTAAATTAACCACTGAGTTTATAGGCATACTCATAGCTGTTTGTATAAATTTAATATTGTGATTATTACTTTTGATCCTTTGTTTTCCGTTATCCTGTTTTCTAGACAGATGCGTTAGGCTGAAAGCATGGGAAGGCTTGCCTGCCGATAGCGACGAGAAGCCACCAATTGAAGTAAAAAATATCTTAACACCAGTTGCTCTCCAGGCAGAGGAGGGCATTAAGGCTTGGATTTGTAATCCATCGATAACAGTTCTCAGAGGGGAAATAATGATACCAAATTCAGAGTATGACTGCAGATTGAATTTAAGGACAGGTATGATGCTTAGAATGAAGCAGTTTACTGAATATTTGGATACTTATGTGAACTGACTTAATTACAAGGGCCAGTTGTATAAAAATTTTAACTACTTTTTAACTCCCAGTTTTGTAGTTAAATAGTGGTTAACAGTTTTAAACACGCAGTTAAGTCAGTTGTATACAAATGTTGTTAGTTCACAGGAGGCCCAGGCTCGATTTGCCCGCGCCAGTCTTTGCCTTCCTTATAACGAGGGAAGGACGGAGACATTGAGATCAAAATAGCCCAGACTTGGCATATGTCACACGAAACTATCCTCGATTTTTCTCTTTTAATACATTTCTTTCACGATTAATCGATATCCCCTGCAAGAATGATACCGTATAACTCTCAAAACAACGATGCTTTAATCAAAGAGCTTAAATTCGCTCTGAAATCCGTCAGGGATTGCTGTGCAAAAAAGCGGAAGTCGTTGAACAACTCAAAATACACTCAACCCTGATTGGACAACGAATATCAACAAACATTTCAATTTTTTTTTGACAAAAACAATGTGAAATACAATTTATTATACATATTCACGTCTACAGTTATATTTACATGCAGATCGAAAGGGGCGATTTCCTTGTGTACCATCACAGGTTACTGCGGCCACAAAATAACACATACGATGAGTGAACGCATCTTAACTGAGAATAAGTAGATTGTGCATGCTGACCTATACTGTTAGATACAGTAAGTCAAAGTAAAGCTAGTTCAAAAGTGCGCAAAATTTTGACTGAGCATACGCGCCATGCAATGGATGTTCAGCGTATACATGGCACATTTTCTGTCAATTTTCCGTCTTTTCTTAATATTAATTGAGTCAACCTAAAAATTAGACACGACTAAATTTTGCACGTTTAAGAAAAAGTATAATGCAAGACAGGACCTCTTTTGGCATATAAACTAATTGAGCCAAATCTCTGAACCCAACCCTCTTGAAACAGCCGTGTTTTGCAGATATCTCAGTAAATAAGTGTTTTGCTAGATAGAAAATGTCAAAGTTTCATTAATTTACCTCGTATTTCGTAACTGTAATAAAACCGTCCGGCAAACATGCAGAAACTCTTGAAAGAACTTTGTTTTGAACTTGCTGGTTGACGCGAGCATGCGCAGCTCGCGCTTCACTTCTGGTTCCATAATTAACTGATCAATAATTGTTTGATTGTTGAACGGTTGCCGCCTCGCCAATGCATGCAGTGAATATGACTGTTTGTTCAGCAGCACGTGATACGGTTTTGTCCAATCAGCAAACAGGAAAATTGAATTTTGACACTTGCTCTATAATAATATCATTTACTGAAAGATTGAGGATAGTACGACCCTTTAACTGCATGGACGTGTCATTCAGAATGGAAAATAGAAACTTGATCGAATTCTAAAATCTGACCTTGTTATATAAAGATGTAACACCATGAAAAACATCTGCGCATGCCCGATGTACTAACATGACTTAATTTAATTCTGGTAGTCTTAGTTAGTGATGTAAAGATGTAAGGTCCAATAAAATGTCTGTGTTTTTTATAGGTTCCCGTTATGTAGCCGACGAAGTCAAAGATGGCGTGTGTCTAGAAGAAGACGCAATTTTATCGGAATATCTTTCCAACTGTAAATTTGATCACTCGAGTCATAGTATGGATTTACCAGATGAAAAAGACTGTCAAATGCCGCAAGATTTTCTGTGTATGTATTACCGCGAGGCGGAGGAAAGAATATTTTCCGCTACTGTCGATGGAGAGCATTTCACCGTTACTATTTTGAACGAAAAGGGATGGGATTCAGATGGATCAGATAAAAGAGATCAAAATCAGGTTGGTATACAGTATATTTAAATTTTAAAAGTTATCTACAAAAGATAAAATTGGCCATTATGGCTTCAGTTTGACCTTATCTAACTTGAAAAATAGAGGATGCGTTGCCAGGTTGAAACATAATTTATTTATTGAACGTTCTCTGACTAAATATTTATTTCTACGAGCATTCGGCTATCAGTCTATAGCCTTCCACGGGTGTATACAAAAGATTCTATAAAGGACGCTAAACTTAAATAGGTGGTATGAAATATGAAAACTGTCTGTACCAGTGTAGGTAATACCAATGTGAAAATGCTGTGCTGAGTGGTTATATTACTACCTTAAAAAAATAAGCAGAAACTCGACGTTTCGAGGGAAGGCCCTTCGTCAAGAGTTAGTAGCAGGGACCGTGCATTTTCCCCGATCCCTGCTACTAACCCTTGACGAAGGGCCTTCGCTCGAAACGTCGAGTTTCTGCTTATTTTTTAAGGTAGTAATATAACCACTCAGCACAGCATTTTCGGTATGAAATATGAGACTATCTATGCTAATGTTACAAATGTGGAATATAAATATTTAATTAATGTTTCTTGAGTTCCTTTCTTAAAAGTATTGTGTATTGTGCTGGAAGCGTATTAGAGTTATTATCAGCTTCGTCTGTTGGTGCAGTGTGCCAAGACTCTAAGGTTTTAAGGTTCCTATGATTTCCCTTGTCTATTACTTTAGCATTGGCAATTAGTCAATTATATGATTTTGAGTCCATGCATGTTTCACGACATTCGACCCCTTCTTACCTTGTTAAAGCTAAAGTAATAGACAAGGGAAATCATAGGAACCTTAAAACCCTAGAGTCCTGGCACACTGCACTAACAGACGAAGCTGATAATAACTCTAATACGTTTCCGGCACAATACACAATACTTTTAAGAAAGGAACTCAAGAAACATTAATTAAATATTTATATTCCTCATTTGCAACATAGATAAATAATCTCATATTTCATACCACCTATTTAAGTTTAGCGTCCTTTATAGAATCATTTGTATACACCCGTCGAAGGCTATAGACTGATAGCCGAAAGCTCGTAGAAATAAATATTTAGTCAGAGAACGTTCAATAAATAAATTGTTTCAACCTGGCTACGCATCCTCTATTTTTTCAATTATTCGCCGAACGGCTGGCCGCGAAGGTCTCAAATTAGCAAGAGTTCTAGAAAAGGATACTTATATAAACTCGAAGCACACCACCGTCACCTAAAGTTCAGTCATTGTGCTCTTGAAAATGGTTGGTTCAATCCTCCTGGCTATGTTATATTCAAGCAGAGAATGGAAAGAGCAGGCAAACATTGCATGAAAGCAAGAATTTCTATTTGTCATAGCCAAATCAACTCAATCAAGAAACGAATGCATCACACCAGAATAGAACTTACATCAATCATACCCGTAGATACATTCAAGAACTTGAACGAATTCTTGAAACAACGTGCACAGTCTGTCCGCGACACCATCAACACAGGACATGCCAAGAAACATTCTAATTTGAACAATATGAATATAGCAAAGAAACGAATGCCACAATGAATACCTCCGTGATTAACCTATCACTGAAAGAAACCTCTTACCGACGCAGAACGCTCCCTTCTTGAAAAAGGACTGAAGTTCGCCATCACACCTGGAAAGATTCCACACAAAGACATCATTGCGGAAGTTGAAACAGCGATAAAAATCTAGCAGACGAAACTAAAGACATTATACGGACAAATACAGCTTCCATCTTAGACCGAGCACGCATCCCTCCGCACAAAAACGTAAACATCAACGAAAGAAAAGCGCTGAAAGACTTGAAACAGGACACGACATCATGAAAGCCGACAAAGGCAACAGTTTAGTCAACACGGACCGAGACGAGTATGACAAGAAGATGGAAAACCTATTGGAAGATGAAACCACCTACGCTATCATACCTATAAGCCATTCAAACGAGCAGAACAAAAGTTAAATGCCATGCTGCTTAACCTAAAGAATCAAGAGAAAATTCCCGATAATATCTACCGTAAGCTACACTCAAGTGACGCAATCCCTCCAGCCATCATAGGCTCCATCAAGCATCACAAAGTATGTTATCCACTTACACCTATAGTTATTCAGTAGGGAAAGGAGAGAGCACATCCATGCTCGCCATATTGTGAAGTCAAACATGTCACAACAGAACCCATGCTGTGAACAAAGATCAAAGTTCATTAGCATCCTTGTAATAAACATGATCTCTGTCTCTGACACTGCATATTACCTACACATTTTATCTACAATTACATATATACACACATATGTTTCCACGTTTACCAAATATAACCTATAACATACAATCACAGACAAACATCAGAAATAAGTCAAATAACGCAATGTAAGGGTAATAAACATGATCTCTGTCTCTGACACTGCATATTACCTACACATTTTATCTACAATTACATATATACACACATATGTTTCCACGTTTACCAAATATAACCTATAACATACAATCACAGACAAACATCAGAAATAAGTCAAATAACGCAATGCATGACCAGGACAGGCACACCTAACACAAACATGAATACTGATAAATACACATTTAGCACTGTGCTCAAAATCATCAAATCACTATGTAACACCAAGAGTAAGAGACACCTTACCAAGTGTGATTGTGCAATGGCGGATGGTCATGCAATGTATAGCTCTGTTATAAATACGCTTTTACCGGATAATAATCATCTCACTGACACAAATAGTGATTTGGCTAAAGATCTTAGTTCTACACAAACGATTAATGATGAAATAACTGCCTTGGCTATGAAGAATCTGAAGTTATCTTGGGCTGGTGATTTCGAATCTTTAAAACGTGTTGTTAGTGATTATATAAAATTTGACGGGAGATGGACTTCGCCCGGAGGAGAGAAGAAAGTTTGCAGTAATCCAGATACCTCTATCACCTGGTGGAAAAATAAAAAGTTCCTTCTGGTTGAAGGTAATCAAGCTGAAAGGATAATTGAACTATTTATTGTAATTTTAACGAATATCGCTTCGTTTCGCCCCTCAGATCGGCCGGGTAATATAAACATAGATCTCCCGAATTCAGATAAAATTAATCTTGTTAGTTCCTGTTCGTGCAAATGTAACAATTTGACTGTTGATATCGAAGGAATAAAACTAGATAACGTGGTTCTTGAGTCGAGGATGGAACATAAAACCAACACTAACACTGAAATTATCAATAATGTACAACAAGAGTTGCTTAAGTTGCAGAGTAAATGTGACATGTTAGCTGATCGAGTGGGAAATATAGAGAGCTCAAACGATGAGCGAGACAGTGATACTATCGCTAGTTTGGAACGCCAAAATAAATTTCTTGTTGAGGAGGTGAAAACCTTAAATTTTAAGTTGGAAAATCTCGAGAAGAAGGCAAAAGCTGAGAACGCAAAAGCTGAGAACGCAATTAATATTCATGCTAATGATATTTCCTCTCCTAAAACCACCCATGTGAATAATGAAATGCATGTTATGAGTATAAGTAACCTTATTCCCTCTCCTAAAACCACCCATGTGAACAATGAAATGCATGTTATGAGTATAAGTAACCTTATTGTTGATGACTCTGAAGAAATTAGCATTGTTTCTAGCGTTAATGACCCGTACCACACTAATGTTGGTCACAATACGTGTAATGGAAATCAACCGAGTGGCTCTTTACCTAAGGAACCTTGTTATCCACATGAGTCTAATCAACAACAAAGTATTCCAGTTCGTATTACCTCAATTAGGAAATCAAAACAAACCCGTAAAAAAGTTAACTTGAGACAAACAGAGCTCAACCGTTCAAATACGGTTTATAGCGTGGAAAGTTGTGTATCTACACAGGGGAGTAAACAATCAAGATCATCCGACAAAAACAAAAGTCATAACAATCACAGAAAAACTAACAATGAGGGTTTTTGTACGGGTCTCTCGATGAGAGACAAAATAGGATGGTTCAACTTTTATTACTGAGTCCCGAAACATTGGAAACTTCTACCACGGTAAACTTTACCGGTGTGAATTATAATAATTTAATTAATATTTCCTTGACTGAATCGTTAAGAAACCAAAATGATGCTGACGTAATGCCAAAGAAACTAACTTGTCTCAGATTTGCTTGTGTTAATTCGCGCTCTGTAAGGAACAAGATCGCCGTTATCATTGATCATATGGTTGATAGCTGTATTGATATATGTACTATCACTGAAACGTGGTTAAAGGAACAACTCTGTCAGCATTGCTGGACTATCTACTGCAGGATTTGTGTTTAGATCTTTCCCAAGACAGTCTGGTAGAAGTGGTGGCGGCACGGGTATTCTGTGCAAAGAATCGTTAAATGTAAAATCCAGTGACTGGGGGGAATTTAATTCGTTTGAATTCTCGGAGTGGAATGTTTGTGTGCACAAGCAAACCATTAAAGTGGTGACAATCTATCGACCTCCCTACTCGGAAGATCACCCGGTTTCATCAAATGTGTTTTTCGAAGAGTTTTCATCATACTTGGAGAACATCGTTATGATTCCCGAAGTACTCTTGATTACAGGTGATTTTAATTTTTACGTTGATTGTCCAACCGAAGCAGACGCGAAAAAGTTTGCGGACTTAATGAATACTTTTGGACTTATCCAACATGTTCATGTCCCAACTCATTCATCAGGTCATACCCTTGATTTGATTATCACTAGATCAATTAATGATGTCACAATCACCTCTCCTTTGGCGACGTTTGCTTTGTCTGATCATTTTTTTGTTGAATGTTTGTTGGATATTCCTCGCCCAAACATCCTGGTTAAAGAAGTTTGCTATCGCAAAGTTAAACATATTGACCTCAATGCCTTTAAAGCTGATATATGCGCCTCAGATCTATTTCAGAAAACTTGGTCAAGTGTTAATGATATGTCAAAATGCTATGATGTTACCCTACGTTCTATTCTCGATAAGCATGCTCCTTTGAAATCGAAAATTATGACTGTTCGACCAATGGTTCCTTGGTTTAATGATAGTTTAAAGAAGCTGAAAGCTAAACGTAGGAAACTGGAAAGAATCATGCTTAAATCGAAACTTGAATGTGATAAGAATGCTTATCGTAAGGTACGCGATGACTATAGGACTATAGTGCTATATTGAATGACACCAGAAAAATGTTTTATTCCAACCTTATTGACAAATCTGCTGGTGATTCTAGAAAATTATTCCAAATTGTGAACTCTTTGAGCAAAGAACGTCTAGTTGAGGAGTTTCCTGAAAATCGCAATCCTTCCATCCTTGCTAACGAGTTTGGTGAGTTCTTTTGTAAGAAAATTGAACTCGTGAAATCAAAGATTGACGAGATTTCCATTAACCCACCTAATGTTCCATTTCATCTGCCTGAAGTGAAATTGGATGAATTTTCTTCGGTTTCTGAGGATGAAGTTCGGAGGATTATTCTTGAATCTTCGAATGCTTCCAGTAGGTTGGACCCTATTCCTACATCATTGGTTAAACTCTGTTGTCATGAATTGGCCCCAATCATCGCTGAAATCATTAATCTCTCTTTTTCTGAAGGAATTGTACCCGATCATTGGAAAATAGCGCTAGTTTTACCTCTTTTGAAGAAATTTGGACTTGATTTTATGTTTGAAAACTTCAGACCTATAAGCAACCTGCCATTTGTTGCCAAGTCTGCTGAGAAGGCAACGATCTCTCAGTTATCTATACATTGTGCTGAAAATGCCCCTTTTCCCGAGTATCAATCAGCGTATCGGAAAAATCACTCAACAGAAACAGCTTTACTAAAAGTCCAGAACGACATTCTCCTCAGTATGGATCAGCAGGAGGTTACGCTTCTTGTGCTTATCGACCTAAGTGCCGCATTTGATACTATCGACCATGCTATCTTACTGGAGACACTTGAAAAAGACTTTGGCGTAACTGGAAATGCCCTCAAATGGCTAACATCTTATTTATCCGAGAGAAAACAAACAATTTTAATTAAAGACCATGAATCGGAAGTTTTCAATCTTCAATCGGGAGTTCCGCAGGGTAGCTGCCTTGGCCCTGTCCTCTTCATACTCTATGTGGCTGGGTTATTTAAGGTTATTGACAAACATCTTCCCAATGCACATACGTATGCAGATGACACCCAGATTTATCATTCGTTTCGGCCGGATACGTCTTTATCACAAGATGCTGCACTAAAGAGTATTGAAAACTGTGTTGCTGACATTCGTGCCTGGATGCTTTCTAACCGTCTCTTGATAAATGATTCCAAGACTGAATTTATTATCATCGGTTCAAAGCAGCAAATGTCAAAGATTAACATCAATGAAATTACAGTTGGTGAATCTACGATCGAGCCTGTGGAGGTGGTTCAAAGCCTCGGAATGTGGTTTGACTCACATATGTCGATGGATATTCACATCGGAAAAGTGTGTAGTAAGGCGTTTCGCAGCCTCTATAATATCCGGCAGATAAGGAAATTCCTTTCAGAAGATACAACAAAGATTTTGGTTCATGCTTTTGTTACTTCACACCTGGACTACTGTAACTCATTGTTTTATGGTCTGCCACAGTCTCAATATGATAGGTTACAAAGAGTTCTCAATGCTGCAGCACGTGTGGTCTGTTTAATCCCCAAATTCGATCATATTACTCCCGTTTTGATTGGCCTTCATTGGCTTCCTGTACGGTATCGGGTGATTTTCAAGATTTTGTTGCTGGTGTACAAGGCTCTTCATGCTAATGCACCGCCTTATATCTCAGACCTTCTGACACCTAAGCATATTGGTTGCTACAGCCTGCGCTCGAATGAGCAAAATTTGCTAATAGTTCCCAAGACAATGAGGAAAACGTTTGGCGACAGAGCTTTTGCCAAGGCTGGTCCATTTTTGTGGATATGCAGACTTAAGACCTTTCTTTTTAGAAAGGCATTTTATCTTTAAATATAATAGTAAATTTGAACTTCTCGCTGACATTCGTGAGGCGTCAACAGTAGAAACTTTTAAAAACAGACTTAAGACCTTTCTTTTTAAAAAAGGCATTTTATCTTTAAATATAATAGTAAATTTCGAAACATGTATATATAGGTATCATCTTATACTTTATAACATTTTATTTGAATTTGTAATGATAGCGCTTTAAACTTCTCGCTGACATTCGTGAGGCGTCAACAGTAGAAACTTTTAAAAACAGACTTAAGACCTTTCTTTTTAAAAAAGGCATTTTATCTTTAAATATAATAGTAAATTTTAAACATGTATATATAGGTATCATCTTATACTTTATAACATTTTATTTGAATTTGTAATGATAGCGCTTTAGAATATTTATAGTTTTAGCGCTTTATAAATTAATAAATTATTAATTATTATTATTATAAACAAAGTGACTATACAGCCGGCAGCTGGGTATTTAATAAATTGCCGGCTATATAGTGACTATAGTTAAATATAAAGAACTTTTGTTTCCGCTAACTTTCACCGAGCTTGCCGTTAGAGTATATGGTATAGGCACTGTGTGCGGAAAGTGAAACGCAGTCTGGGTCGGGTTGTGTTTTGTTTGACATTTTTTTCTTAGTCACTATATAGCCGGCAGTTTACTAAATAGCTGGCTGCCGGCTGTATAGTCACTTCGAAATTCAAATGTTTACTCAATAATTGTGAATGAAATATTTTTTCATAGCAACCATGGAATTCCTTTGCGCAGAACATGTACGCCTAGCGTACCTATTTTTAAATAATTGTTGCATTTGGACAATGCCAATAATTATTTTAAAAATAAATTCTGACCCTGATCTTTTCACAAGTATGTGACAAACAGGTTACCATAATCGGGGTGAGGTGATATCAGTTTTATGGCTTTTAGGACGATATCATAAATGTCCCTTGTTCCCTGCGAGCATTACGACTACAAGTGAGCACTCGTGACATTTATGCACGATTAAAACAGCAAACCTGCGGGCAATTTGAGGTTTTTGAGCAAAACAGCAGCAGAAATGCTATAAAAAAAAGCTCAACCTTCTGAATGTATTTCAAAAACGAAAACAAGACCATCGCATTCAACTTGAACTTATATAGCCTCTTCATGATGCTCCGGCCGTTAGATGGCTAGAATCCATAGATCAAGTAAATTTAAATGTGGAAATCTTCCTTGATCTAGCGAAAACCACTTTGACACTGTAACTATGATATCCTAATTCACAAATTAAGCAAATACGGTATTCAACCAAAATCTTTAAACGGAAATGTAGAGTGTTAATGTTTTTTTATCCTCTGAACGACAACTAAATTGTATATCGTTGCCAGAGATTTGCCAGGCGGAAAACAAATTCTTATGATAAATATGAGAGCCCAACATATAACTTTTAACAAAGCCATTAAAACAGTTAAGATTTTAACGAATATTTATTGTAACGTTTCGTCTTTAACTTAAGTATTCCACAAGGGTCATTCCCTGGTCCTTTCCTGTTTCTGTTGTATATAAATGTTCTTCCAAATTGTCTCAAGCATTCAGAAGGCAAAATGTACGCTGATGATACAAACATTACCATCAGTGGATCACCATTCATCATTGAAAGAGATTGCAAACTTATTTACCACTCCAGTTTTGAGGCTAGACATAAGGAAAGTCCCTGGCACGACGACTTCCCCAAAACAAGGGAAGAGAAATTTCTGGTGTAATTGCCTCAGCCTGTGGATTACCTTCTGCAGATTCTTCCCCGAGACCTTCAAAATGAAGTTGTGAATCCGGATAATATGGAACTAGAATTGACATGCAGTCATTATGAATCGATGAAGCGACTCTTCTCTTCCACCACATTCATTGCCAGAATCGTCAATTTTGCAGTCGACACAAAGTAACTATTTTGGAAACGTTAGTTTTCCTCTTGTGGCTTTCCAAAATTGCCATGTTACATTCATTTTATTACAAATAAACATAAAATGTATTTGACATTGTAACGTTGTCTGTAATTTTAAATGATATGCTTTGTGCACTGCACTGCACTGCACTGCACTGCACTGCACTGCACTGCACTGCACAATGCACAGGGTGTATAAAAAAAAACTGAACAGATTTGAAATTGCTCTCAATTTCGAAAAACAGCTATTAGTATCCAGTTTTTGATGTATATAGCTTCCTTGGGTACTTATAATGTAGGATAATGAGCACTGCACTGCACTGCACTGCACTGCACTGCACAGGGTGTATAAAAAAAAACTGAACAGATTTGAAATTGCTCTCAATTTCGAAAAACAGCTATTAGTATCCAGTTTTTGATGTATATAGCTTCCTTGGGTACTTATAATGTAGGATAATGAAAACAATTTCTCGAACTCAAGGGGGGAGTGTCTTTTCCAACAGACTAAAATGGCTTGCGCACGAAATTTAAAATATTGTGAGTTAATAGATGAAAAATTTGTTGGGTTTGTAATTGCTGTACAAAATTTCAGACAATTTGCTTTAGTTTAAGCCCTTTAACAATATATTCGCGCAAACTTACATTATTTTCCTAAAAATCAGCTATTTGCATGCTTAATTAATGCCTTTGCCTAATTTGCATATGTCAGCAATATGCAAATTAAGTAAAGGCATTAATTAAGCATGCACTTCTGATTTTTTAGGAAAAAATGAATAGTTAAAGGGCTTAAACTAAAGCAAATTGTCTGACATTTTGTACAGTAATTAAAAACCCAACAAATTTTCCATCTATTAACTCAAAATATGATTAAAGCTTTTAAATTTCGTGCGCAAGCCATTTTTAGTTTGTCGGAAAAGACACACCCCCTGGTTCACAAAATTTGAGTTCGAAAAATTTTTTTCATTTATAATAATATTCTACATTATAAGTACCCAAAGAAGCTATATACATCTAAAAAACTGGATACTAATAGCTGTTTAGCAAAATTGAGAGCAAATTCATATCTGCTCAGGTTTTTTTTTATACACCCCGTATAATAAAATACTTATTGACTGGGACACACGGGAAACAATATGTTTTGCGGACCCTCTACTGCCAATGTTTCAATCATTGGCGATCTAGGGTCCACAAAACATACTGTCACGAAACATGCTGTCTTCCTCAGGGACTGAGAATGTTATATAGTGTTACATGTTTAGTCACTTAAGAGAATACAGAACATACTTACAGGTGTATCGACCAGATTTAAAAGATACGTATTGTTCTTGAATTTATGAAATAGTGATGCAGTCTAGAAAAATCGCAAAGCATTAATGTTGACTAGAACATTGACTAGCTAACATTTTGACTAAACATCATAAAGATGTCAACAATTGGAATTAAGGACAGTGGCTGAAATTCGCTTTTTGAGGTGGTGAAAAAAGTGTGACAAAAGTAATGTTATTTACATTTTCGACAAGCTGAGAGACCCCCTCCCCCAATCTTACAACAATTTCTGCCTCTGAGTGGTGCACATTCATCCACTAACAGTGGTATACCGCCATGCATTAAAAGTACACAAGTTAGAAAATATTTTCTGTAGTTATAAAAGAAAACCAACCTGGGCCTTCACGGTTATTCCTCGTTCTCTTTCAACTTGAAGCTTATCCAAAACTTGCTTATTTTCAACACTTCTTAAAATTGTTCCTAAATAGAAATCAATAGGTTTAATAAACACATACATATGACAAGTCTGACATATACTGTTCAACTAGTCTCATATTATTCTGACAATACAGAGTACAACAAAAATGCGTTGTCTCGAGCGGGTTTCGAACTCGCATCTTTGGGTTTCTGGACCGGAATCCCGAATTTTTCGTTGTACTCTGCCCAGTCAGAATAATATGAATCTAGTTTTTTTTATATGTCTGAAGATGCAAGTTCGAATCCCGCTCAAAACAACGAATTTTTCGTTGTACTCTTTGATAAACCTGCCTTTTATCAGTTCATAGCATTACACAAGCTTGAAAGACTTTTCCCTTAGTAATTGTTATGCATCAGTGCATCCACTGGTTAGGGCCTGTTCGTATGACTGGTTTTATCCCACCTGATCTCCCGCTTCGGTAAGACACATTGGCGAAACCATGCATGATAGCGCCATCGAAATATCTCTTGGCGTTGCATGTGCATGATTAGAGACCTTACGATTTAGGACGGCAACGCGACGGCAACGGCCACCAATACAATAAATGATTGAAAAGAATTGAATAATTACAATATATGAATAATTTAGATGTTGTCTTTCGCTCTATTTCGCCAAATCATAGATTTTCACGTCTTGATGCAACGGCTGCATTTCAAGCCGCAATAAGTGCAACTTCAAACTGCATGGGTTCAGCAGAACTCTCCCCAGGCCCAACCATAAATGTCTTCAACTTCTAAGACTGCATTAAATTCATACGATTGATAATATACGACGAATTATCTTTACCGCCATTTATTTGAAGGAGTTTGTTTTGGCCGTCGTCGCCGCATTGCCGTTCTATAATTGTAAGGTCTCTATTACATGAACAAACTGTACGTTGTATTACAGGCTGTCCAAAATTGCGGTAACCATAGCTCATGGTTCACCGCCGCGTTACCGCAAACTTTGTTTTGCGATAATCTAATTTGGTTTCCCTAAAGTAATGTAAGTCCGTAATTTATTAATTCTATAATTAATAAATGTGTTAACAGTTAATTATATAAATTTTCTTTACGCGTTCTGTGATCGAATTGGGTTACTTTACAATTCACTTAGACATATAAAAATGTTCCTCTGACAAGTTTTTGTTTTGGTAAACCCAGGCTACCGCAAAGCTGATTTTGCGGTAACCCAATTTGGTTCCACTCGCTGTGTTTTGCTGCGAGCTTTAGAGAGCAGTCCCCTATTTCTGTCATGCATCGAGATTTGTGTGATTTTTGTTTGTCAGGATGATTTTGAGCACGCGTATGTATATGTGCTGTGGTTTCATCATTAGTCATATGTGAATTAATGCGCTCATATTCGCACTTATGCATGCGCATGTTGCTTGTCTCAGCCAAAGCATGTGCTGACGAAAAATTGTTGAATGCAATAACTAGGTACGTTTTTTTATTGAAATCATGTCGAATTTAAACTTATTTGTTGCTTGAAGCATTCGTTAGATCCAATATTGTTACCCAGTTAAACTGACAATAGCCGATTTAATTCGCGCGCAAAGCATTATGCTCACAGACTCAGTTCAGCCATATAATAAACCGATTATATATTGACCTCGCTTGTTCGGTCTGTACTGCGAAATATCAGACCTCTGTTTTTTGCATGCACCTCGCTCCTTCATCGCTCGGTCCATACTAAAAAAACTTCGGTCTGATATTTCACAGTACAGACCTCACGCTCGGTCAGTAACCCTTTACTTTATTATTTGCTCACACTTTGGAACACTGGACCGCATCCAATGTAGAACAGATTCTTGCTGAGGGAGATGGACTTTTATCTCGATGCTTTTGAAAGTAGATCCATCCCTGACGGAGACGTTGTCCCTGGAATACCAGCCCCGTGAGATGCGATATATATATATATATACGAGCAGGTTTATATATACGAAACGCAAAGAGTGCTCAATACCATAAAGACAGAGCAGATATAGAATTTCGCTAACCTCAAATTCCGCAACAGTCTGTTTCATCTGCATGTAAAGAATCCTCAGGCGGTATGAAACTGTTGCGGAATTTTGAGGTTAGCGGAATTATATGTACTATTTAAAAAACGAGCAGGAGTGTTTTATTAGGTTTAAAGCCTAAAAGTCTAAAGGCTTTAGACCTAATAAAACACGACCTGCGAGTTTTTTAAATGGCTTCAAAAACGTTTGCATAATAAGTCAAATCTTTATATAAAAATCTCTATATAAAAATCCCTATATAAAAATCTTTATATAAAAGTGCATATATTTTGTTAAAGTGTTCTTTAGCTGGTATAAAGACGTATGCACGTGACTAATTTCTTAGTCAAGATTGGATAATTGCTTCATGAATTATTAATGAGTTTTTGAAATATATATTATAGATATATATTGAGCACTGTTTGTGTTTCGTATTAAAAACCAAAAACTTAAGCTATATATATATATATATATATATATATATATATATATATATATATATATATAAACAAAATAAACCTGGTTTACTTCATAAGATTTATTCATTTTTATTTCATTTTTTCTATCTTATGAGGCAAACCAGGTTCATTTTATCTTTATCTTTATTAATATATATATATATATATATATATATATATATATATATATATATATATATATATATATAAAGATATACAAAATAAACCTGGTTTACTTCATAAGATTTATTCATTTTTATTTCATTTTTTCTATCTTATGAGGCAAACCAGGTTCATTTTATCTTTATCTTTATTAGCTCTATACTTCGGTATGTCGGTATGTATCAAGTGCCCCGACTCATATAAGCAATATGTTTATGCATTTAAATAAATTTAATTTAATTTAAAAAGATGGACACCTGTAAATTCCAACAGTCGATCTGCTAAAGTACTTTTGCCATGATCAATATGAGCTATAATACAGAAATTTCTTATCATCTCAGCAGGATAATCAGCCATCGCAATCTTCTGGAAACAAAATATGTAAGTGTTTCAATTTTAGTCAACTTTTTAGTCAATTTTATCCAACTTTGGCATGTTATCGGGCATTATATATTAATACATGTATATCCATTTACTTTTTTCATACCAATAAAGATCAGGCTTTTAGCTGTCAAATGCTGCATTTCTTGTATCATTGCAATAAAAAAAGTCAAATACGATCCGATTTAAAAATGCCTAGCGAAATCGCATTTTGCCACCGTTGGGAATTACATGCATGTAAAGCTATTGTCTGTGTACTGAGATTATTCTCATTTGGGATTCAATTTGAAGTCCCTTGAGTAAATATAGCGCAACGCATGTGTAAGCATCCTGTTTCACAGGGAGCTGAGGAGTGATATTTGTAACGTTATATATTTTATTTATCTTATGTATAAACTACATTTAACTTTACTTTATAACTCAACTCTACTGAGTCCTTGTTCAACGTTCCTTCGACGTTCCATGTGTTCGCATGCATGAGTCACGTGATATCCTTAGATTCTCCATACAATAAGAAAGTTAATATTAATCAACAGTTTGAACACAGTCTTCTGTCATGAGATAAAGTCAACTTTAAAATTGATGTCTTACAACAACTACTAAGTTCTTCGTAAGTCCTAACATGCTTTACTTATCTGTTAAGTGTGTTGTTCAAATCTACGAGGTTTCTTTATTGTTCTACCATATCTTGATATGTCTCTTGATACTTCATTCGAGGGTAACGACTTTGTCTCGACTTGTTTCTCCGCTCGTTTCGTTGTGCTTGCACTTTTATCATTTCCGTCTTCGACTTCCGAGGTAATTTTTCTCAGTTGTTTCCTGTTTCGTCTGTATTGAACTTTATCCTTGGTTTCCACTATGTACGAACGAGGTGCAATCTTTTCCTTTCACCATTGCCTTTTCTCCCCACATCAACTTCTTTTGGTCGTAGATTCTCGCCATCTCACCTTGCTTCAGTGGTGGAAAAGGTTTGGCTTCTCTGTCATGATAAGACTTCTGGATTTCTTTTTTCTTCGTTTTCCATGCAACAACTGCTTTGGAATCTTTAACATTAAGCTGGTTGTCTACAACTGGAAGATCTGTTTCAAGTGTTCTTCCCATCAGTAACTCAGCTGGTGACTTATGTTTGTCAAGTGGTGTTGATCTATATGCTAACAGTCCGAGATACGGGTCTGTTCCGCTTTCAATTGATTTGTTTATAATATTCTTTACTGTCTGGACAGCCTTCTCAACTAACCCATTAGAGGATGGGAAATGAGGACTACTGGTAACATGTTTAAATCCCCATTTGGTCTTGAAATCAGCAAACTATTGACTACTGTAACATGGTCCATTATCACTATGAACAATATCAGGAATGCCATGTCTGGCGAAAGTTACTTTCATACCTTTAATCACAGCTTTACTGCTTTGGCTTGATAGAGGTATCACTTCCGGATAGCTGGAATATGCATCCACAATGACAAGGTATTCTTTCTTGTTGATTTCACAGAGATCTGTGCCGACCACTTGCCAGGGACGGGTTGGAACTGGATATGGCTTTAATGGTTCTTTCTGGTGGTTATGCTGGTGTTGTTGGCATGTCTCGCAACTCTCAACTATGTTATCAATGTCACTGTTGAATCCAGGCCAGAATACTACTTGTCCGGCGCGTTGCTTGCATTTCTCTCTGCCCTGATGAGCTGAATGAATTTTTATTAGGATTTCTTTTCTCGTCTTTGTTGATTTCTTTTTTCATCTTTGAACCTTTTAGTATCAGCCCTTGGTGTACCGATAATTCATCTCAAATGTTCCAATAAGCATGAAGTTCGTTAGAAGTGTTGGATCTTTCATTGGGCCAACCTTGCATGATAGTATTTTGAAGTGATATCATTCTTTTGTCCTTTTGGGTTTCCTCTTTAATCTCTTTTAGTTTCTCATCTGTGACTTGTAGCACTGCTATGATGAGCTTCAACATGATGGTCTGACTTACTTGCCAGCTTCAGGGGTGCTCTGGATAATGCATCTGGTGTATGCATCCACTTACCAGGAACGTACAAAAGTTTGAAATCATATTTCTGTAATCGTAATCTCAATCGCTGTATTCGAGGCAGGCTATCACAAGAAAATGTCATGCCTAGTGTCTCAAGTTCAATTGTTGCATACCTGCTCTCACAATCTGTAACTGACCTCGATGCATATGCTACTGGAAGCCAATTTTCACCATGTAGCTGCTGTAGTACTGCTCCTAAGCCACTCCTACTTGCATCGGTTGAAATCTTTATGGGCTTGTTTGGATCGTAGAACTTTAACACAGGTTCGCTTGAAACAAGTTCCTTCAATTCTTTCCATGCTTTCTCTTGCTTATTGTTCCACATCCACAAGACATTCTGGTCTAACAACTTTCTTAATGGCATTGTTCTAGTGGATAAATCTGGTATGTATCTAGCAAGACTATTAATCATACCTAGGAATCTCTGGAGGTCTGTTTTGTTTCCAGGTCTTTCCATGTTCTGGATTGCCTCAACTTTTCTCTGAACAGGTTTCAATCCCTGAGCCGAAATTGTATCCCCCAGTAAGTCAACTGTTGTACGCCCACTTCGCATTTTTCTTTTTGAAGTTTCACTCCAACTTCTTTCACCACTTTCATTGTTGCTTCCAACCTTTGATCATGCTCTTGTGGGGTTGATCCATAAATGATGTCATCCATAGAAGTATCTACGCCTTCTAAATGACTAAACAAAGAGTTAATCGTTCTATGATAAATCTCTGGGGCACTGGAGATTCCAAATGGGAGTCTAAATATTTGTATCTCCCAAAAGTGGTATTGAAAGTACATAGATTGGTACTTCCGTCTTCAAGCTTCATTTGCCAAAACCCATTTGAGGCATCTAGTTTAGTAAATACCTTGGCAATTGCAAATTGAGCTATAACTTCGTCTCGTGTAGGTAACTTGAAATGTTCACGTTTTATTGATTTGTTCAAGTTTCTTGGGTCTAAGCAAACACGCAAGTTTCTATTTGGCTTAGTAACTGGCACAAATGAGTTAACCCACTCAGTCGGTTCTTCGATCTTTTCAATCACGCCCATAGCTTCCATTCGTTGTAGTTCGTCTTTGAGCTTATTATACTGCGCGAAGGGTATTGTGCGACAAGGCTCAACAACTGGTGTTGCATCATCTCTTAACTCGATTCTTACGGTATGAGGTAAACAGCCTAGTCCTTCGAAACAGTCTGCATATTTCTCACTTAGTTTTGCATTGTTATACCTACTGCCCGTTAAATTATTCGAACTGTTCGCTGTTCAATACAAAATGTTCTTTTCACAAGATTTAGCTTTTCAGACAGTTCCCTTCCCAAAATAGGTTTAACATCATCAGGGCTGATTAAAAACAGCGCTTTCATAGATTTATCTTTAAACTTTAAGGATAAAACACACTGACCTTGCACTTGAACATCTCCCCCGTTGTATGCTTTCGGTTTAGTCTTCGATTGTTTGAACTTCGGTTTGTTTTGAAGTGTCTTAAACTCGTTATAACTCATTACATTGACATCCGAGCCGGTGTCTACTTTAAAAGTAACTATGTTTACTTCCAATGGAAGAATCCATGGATCTGACTTATCAGCGGTCGTTTCCGTCGAATAAACATAGAATTCGTGTTCGTCACTAGACTCACTACTTGGTTCACCGTCCCTCTCACAATAATAATTTATGCTTACATTGCCTCTGCAGGCAGTTGTAGTAGTTTGATATTCCAATCCTTTGTTTCCGAAAAATAGTCGATTTTGTGATCAAAATGTACATTTCGTAATACAAATCCCTACTGCACTGACTGGCTTTACTGGCTGCCAGCTTGAGAGATCCCGCGAGTGCGCACTGAAATCGGTTGTACACGTGAGTTGCCCTTCTATTCATTTCTTATTCTATGACAGGGTTTTATTTAAAAATATCGCATGTATACTGTCCAGTGCATGCCTGCCCATTTGTAGCAATATTCATTCTCCTGAATTTCATTCAATTTAAAACATCACATCTATTCAATTTAATATACAGGGTAAATATATATTTATATTCATTCACTTTAATCTTGCAATATACATTCAATTCAATCCTGCAATATACATTAAAAAAAATCTGTATTTAAATTTATTAAATACACCTCTTTGGGCCGACGTGAACTTTGTCTGTTATTAAATACAAAAGCAAGCAAATTTGTCTTGTAGATTCCAAATGAAACCATTTCTCTCCATTTCGCATTTCGAATAATAGACTCGCGATTACAAAATACGAATGTAAACTCTCTATCTAGTATTGCTTTCTCGTCCTCTTCGTTTGACAGTGAAGTAACACGGCATCCACGCTTTCTTAGTTCACGGACGTGAGAGTCAATAAAAGAGTTCAATTTGCAAATGACTATTAAGATGGGTTTCTCCAGAAAATTGTGGCTTTTGCCAAGTCGTCGTGCTACTCTCGGTGCTAGAACTTTGGAATATTAAACTCTTCTCATAACCGATAGCAAGATGCAAATACATCTTTAATGTGAATCAAATTGGACAAGGCGCGTTATTGATGCTCCGTTAAACTTTTAATTCAGGAAATTTATCAATCTATCTATTAATGCAGGCTATAAAACTGCTTCTTTCAACTTTTGTTCGTTTATTTAATAATATAGACATTTCAAAATTCAATGCCTGTGCGCGGGCTAGGATGGCATTGGCTCTGAGTACGATATTGCCTGCGAACAGGCTATGATGTTTACAATATCCAATCAGAACACGTAGTCTATCGAACCTATAGACAGCAGCCAATCAACTCTTTAGTAGTAGTGTATGTGGTTTTCGACCCTTATTTTTGGGGCGGCGCGGGGCGGCGTGGGGCGGCGCGGGGCGGCGTGGGGCGGCGCATCATCATTAGCATACGTCATAATTACATGCAATGACGTCACGCGGGTAGGATCAGGCAAGTAATGACGTCACGCGGGCGAGCTTAAACACGATCGGGCGAAACTTGCTGACTACGCATTTTTTAGCGTCCCCCACGTTTATGATACAATTGAGGGATTAATGTTGGCCTACTATGAACTTTTATACAAGTATCTGTATAAAATCGACAAGCGTCTTGTAGCAGGCATAGTTCTGTATTTGTTCCACATCAGTCATGACGTGTCTACACGGTAAAACCACATCTTACAATTTATTGGAAGGAATATTTGCGAATGCAGTCGCACAAGAAGTTGAAAGACTTTGTGTGGAATCCTGTAATGGTTGTCAAGTCGGTCATCCTAGTCAAAGACAACATGACTGCCTCATGATGAACGAAAACGAACGATGGCAAATGTATGGTTTACAAGCGATCGAACGAGTGAATGGTAAGCGTATGGTTTGGAATGAATTCGCTGAGGCAATGAGGGTACTAAAACTGGCGGTTGATAGAGATGTACTCGAACATTTACAGCAACTGGAAAAAGATCCAGATTCTACGTTTGTCGATTCATTGATGGAATTACATCAGAACACTGAGAACCACGAACTACAATGTATACTGAACTATTTGTTTCATTGGAGATTAGAAGACCCACTCGAGTCCGTAGCTGAAGCGTTTTTCTCTTACCCACCGAGTTACATGTATTATGTGAAGGCGACGGGTGAACGATTTAGAAGTTTTGAGGCAGATCATAAGAAAGCTTATCAAGAACTCATGGAGAAAAAACTTATAGAACAGTTTAACAAATAGTTTTAGTTGTAATATTTTTGACACTATCGTCTGTTATTTGTAACAATAAACATGTTTTATACTTAGCAAATGTTGCGTTGTTATGCGTTGCTAAGTCATTAGGAGGCGTGTAGGTAATTAAGGGGATTAAGGCAATACGAATTTGCATAACTAAGTGTATCCCGATGGATAGATAGGGATTATTTTTAACGCAGGTGTATACCTTAAAATCAGGCGCGTGGCTTTGCGGGTGCATGCATATATTAACGTACAACATATTTGTACACGGATCTTTTCGCGCGGGCGGAAAGAGCGGGCTTTGCCGGCAAAAATTACACAATATTTCAGTTTTTAAATACATTTATTTCTTCAAAACGTTTTACAAAGTTATGCTTCTAATATTTATCGTCACTTGTTTCAGGGTTTTCGCTATCAGATTCTTCATCATAGCTGCTTTCATCTTCCGTAATCCATTTGGTATGTCCTGGGACTGTTATATGAGAACACAGTTTTAACCTCTTTGTAGTTGATAAATTACTGCGTTGGCCCTGCCTTCTCTTGCTTCCGCGCCCTGCTTGTTGTAGTAGGGCTTTTGCTCCTTGTTCGGCAAAGTCTTTAACAACGTCACCTCCGTGAGTCTTTACAGATTCTCTTACATTTTTTCCTTGGAGTATATCTTGACCATAGATATAGGAGGTATAGATCGCCGACTCCTATTCTGAAGACTAGAAACGAGACGTGACCAAAATTAAAAATCCAAGATGGCGGAACAAGCGGGCAAAAAACGCAAGTGACATAGGAAAACTAGGTAAATATGGGTATTTTCAAGCACTTATTGTGGAAAATCTACATGGAATTTTGCTACGATTTTGGTTTTATTTAAAAAATATCATCTTTATTAACGTCATTCAAGGATTCAGTGTGTTTTTTTTTGCTTTTATATCTCGAAATATTCAGCTGAAATGTGTCGAGTTATTCAACCACATGGACATTTATGCTGCCGAATCCAATGTTAATTGTTACCAAAGAGGATTAGTTTGTTAATTTTTTGTCTCTCTGATGGCTTTTCATCTCGAACTATTTTCTCCGAATGGATCTTTCCGAAGCAGTAGACAAATATCTTGGCCTAGAGGTCTGAAATGGAGTGGATTAGGAGTGCAATATGGTCATCTCGTAAATTTTAGTCAAGAATATGGCATTCTCATGAGTAATGCCCCAAGGACGTGAATGTAGATGGCTTGGTCTCCGGCAGAACTTGCTGTTTGATCACTTGGAGGGATTCTTTCTTCATTAAATGCCATTGATGGAGTCTTTCACGAGGGATTTTATCTGTGACTTGGACTATTTTCACAGCTGATGGCGAAGGAACTATTAAGTGCCATATAACTCTTGAGCGAAATTAAGTAGTTGGAGCTGTTTGGGGATGTACAGGGGTAGGATGACTGATCTGGTAGTATATTTTGATCTTAAGCCACCAAGGCATCAAAGTATCAAACACATTCAACACATTTTATGGATGAAAGAAATTGCTACACTATGAACCCTCTAATGTAACCAAACACTATACTGGAGAGCTGTCAAGCATTCCCACAATTATCTTGTCAGGTTCAAGCTCTTTCTCCGGTTTGTCACAGTGTTCTGTTCATAATGCCGATTCAAATTGTAATATTATGGGATTGTTATTCTGGACAGCGAATGCTGGATAATCCAAGTGGGGGCATATGTACACAATTTAAGACCTAACTAGGAACAGTTGCAAAAAGTACAACACTAGGTCCTCTGGCAGGAATCAAACCTGTCGCCTTAGGTCTTAAACTGTATATATATGCTTGCTTGGATTATCCACTAAACCCAACATTCTTGTCCAACCAGTGAAGTGCAAAACACATCTTTCAAGTTTACCTTATCAAAATCCACACACCTGAAAATCTATATATAACTAAACATGAACTTGTGGTTGCAGCTTGGCAACTAGCCCATGCAGCTTATGCATCTATCAATGTTAAGCCCGGGGGGGGAGCATGGGGTTGGGATTTGACATTTTCCTGGAAAAAAATTGTCAAAATCCACACCCCAGGGACACCACCATTGTTCAAAAAATGGTAATACTCCCTACCTGAGGAAATCAATATTGGGTCAAAAAAACAGTAATATTTCCCCCATCTGGGGGTTGGGAAAATTTGTTATATTGCATTCATGATCAAACTAATAACCCAAATTGTTGTACTTCAACAAAGCAGACTATTAAATTGCCTGTTCCAACAATCTAAGTATAGGCCAGTGACAATATGTATAGGCCAGTGACATGGACTCATTCCCATTATTTGTGTTTGAATAAAAAATATTCAAAATTGCCTGGCCAAGGGCTGCCTTGAAAGATCAAATGTCCACACCCAGGGTCGCCGAGAGGGGGGGGGGGGCAAATTGCCCCAGGCCCCCACCATAATAGGGCCCCAACTTGAGAGGAAGAGCCTAAAATTGAGTAGTTTCTTTAAATTGGTCAGAGCATTTTTGAAATTGAGAGCCCCTTACAGTACCTCCACATGCAGTCTAGCTAAGGTCTAGTTGGGTCTAGCTTAAAAATAATGTCATGGGGCCCCCAGGGAAGATTTGTCCGAGGCCCTACATATTCTCTCGGTGGCCCTGTGCACACCGCAGGGTGATCTTGCGACATCAAAATCCTCCCCGTCGGGCAAGCAAAGTTGTTCAAATCTCTACCCCTTGCCTCCCAGGCTTAACATTGAAAGGTGCATTAGTTGGTTAGAGTTCTACACTGGAATTGCAGGGCCACAGGTTCGATTCCTGGAAGAGGACCTAGTGTTCTCAACCG